GGGCCGGTTCCGGGGGCACCGGGGGCTGCGCCTGCGTGCTCTCGGCACCCTCCGTGCCTCCTGCCACTTCGATCAATGGCCCCACATCCAGGGCGCTGCCCTCGGCCTCCTCCTGTTCCTTCTCCTCCTCAGGGCTGTCGGTGAAAGGGTTCTCGCCCTGTGGGAAGGGCACAGATGCTAAAGGGAGAAAGGACTCGCGGGACCAGGGCTGGGGACAAGGACGGGGGCTGGGGATGCAGCCAGGCTCCAGGCGCCCGCGCCTCACCTTCAGGTAGTGCTCCAGCTTCTTGCTGATGAGCTTGTTGTTGAGGATGCTGCGGGCCACCATGAGGGAGGACTTCTTAGACTGCTCCATCATGAGCTGCGGATAGGAGCAGGCGGGGATGGAGAGGCTGCTCCCGGTCCCCAAAGACCCCCACCTGCCAGATGGCAGGGCCCTCCCTCACTGCACACCTCCACCTTGTGTGGGTTTCTAAGTGTACCTTGAGTACAAGTGTGTGGCCACCCTCCAAGCATGGAGCGAGCCACGGCCTGATTTTACCATTGCTGAAATGCTCCATTCTTCCACACCATACTTACTGTATGTAACTGAGTAAAAACACATCTTTACAGCTGTATTGCAGAAATCTGACTTGCTTACATATTTAAAAACCTACAAAAAGCCAAATGAGCAATCCAGAACAGAGCCAGCTGCCCTCATAAGCACAGAACTGGAATATAAATGTGAAACAGTATATTTAAGTGATATATATCCTTTTAATCCATAGGATTCCCAGATGAAGCCTTAGACCCAAATGTAATTGGGGTGTAATTCTACACTGCTGACAAGGGGCTCAACTGTTTATTTATATTTTTTGGAAAGCAGTTTAATAGACTGTATCTAAAGTAAAAATTTTTGGTCCTAGCCAGTTTAGCTCAGTAGATAGAGAGCATCAGCCCACGGACTGAAAAGTCCCAGGTTTGATTCCGGTCAAGGGCACGTACCTTGATTGCAGGTACCCCAGCCCTGGTCGGGATAATGTGCAGGAGGTAACCAATTGATGTGTCTCTCTGTCTCTCCCTTTTCTTTCCACTCTCTCTAAAAATCAATGGGAAAAATATCCTCTGGTAAGAATTAACAAAAAACAAACAAAAAAGTAAAAATAGTTGAACAATTCTTCCTGGAATCTATCCTAACTTTAAGAATTGGAACCGTGCATACAGTAGTGAAAAACTGGAGAGCACCTAAGTGTTCTTCAGTGGAGAAGTGGTTAAACAGATCATACATTCAAAAGAACCATGCAGTCCTGAAATAGGGCTCACCTCTCCCCTGGTAATAAAGATACAGGATAGACTGTCTGTATAGCTGCAAGTCTTTTGTCTGGGAGGATTTACACCAAACTGCCAAGTGATTTCCTCAGTGATGAGGTAAAGGCAAATCGCACCTTCATCATTACAAAGGTAAAAGCAGAAAGGAACTGATAGTCATTTTTGTTGGGGGAAGCCCTACCTACTGAGCCCCAGCCAACTCTACATCATGTTTCACTTGCTGTTTGTACTCCCTTTCCTTGTCTTGGCCTTGCTGTTGTTTTGGGTTTTTTTTACACATTTCCTCCACCACTTGGGCAAAATATTAATAGAACTCCCTCCCACATGCTCAAAATGAAACGTTAGAGATGAACCATTAGGATACAACAACAGACCAGCTCCTCTCCAACTCTTAAGGTCACACCACAATGTCTCCCAACTGAGGCACACTTACATTGTTTCTAGATTTCAGCTACAATAACCAAACAGCACCAAAATAAACAAATACAGTCAGTTCTCCAAGGTCTCACATCTCAAACAATTCCAATGTCTACCAAGTTGTTCACGGAAAACAAACTTCAGTTCTCGACCTGAAAACTCTTTCATGCTGATACATCAGCAAGACAAAAAAGTATCTCTCAGCCCTTGCTGGTTTCGCTCAGTGGAGAGAGCGTTGCCCTGCAGACTGAAAGGTTCCAGGTTTGATTCTGGTCAAGGACTAACTCCGAGGTTTCAGGCTCAATCCCCAGTAGGGGTGTGTAGGAGGCAGCTGATCAATGATTTTCTCTCATCACTGATGTTTCTCTCTCTCTCTCCCTTTTCCTTCCTCTCTGAAATCAATAAAAATATATTTTAAAAAAGAATAATTCTAAAAAAGTAGTAATGTATAAAATAACATCAAGGTTTTTTGTGGTTTTTTTAAAGCATTTTTCAGGTAACAAAGGAGAGAATGAGCCAGCATGAGTCAGTTTTCTGCTAAACCTCAGGTTGTTAACATCTCAGGGAGCTGTGCTGTGAATATTTTTGTTTGCTTTTGTTGCTGGCAATGGACAATTAGCACAATTTTAAAATAAACAGGGCATCAAGAGTTGCTAATGGTGTGAAAGAAACAATGATCACAGGCAATTGAAGAGGTGGTAGAAAAACAGTTGTAGATTCGGATAAAAGAAAAGCTGAG